AATACAAAATGACATTACCAATGTATTCTTATGCGAAAAATAATTTTTAACGATGAAAGAAACTTATGAGAATGTTTATAAATACCCGACTGTTTGTATATTAATTAGATCGATAAATCAGCATTTATGACGAAATATATGCAATGAGTAAGTTGACAAAAAAAAATAAAGATTTTTAATTCATATAGAAAAAAATTTCATTAATTCTTCTACTCTCAAACTCATTAATCTAAATGTTTTTGTTTTTAAGCCCGTCTAAAATTAGTTCAAAGATTCTATCAAATGAAAATACATTATATCAAATCTATCTTCGATAATCAAATATAAATTATCATAATCTATTATAATTAACAATAAAAGTTCGAAGATGTTTCTCGATCGCACAACAATGTTAATTGTTGAAAAAATAATATGTTATTTATCGATGACAGAAATACAAAATCACATAAGAGATTCCTTACTTCTGCGGTGAATCCTCAATTACTTTAAATAAGATTAGAAGAAACTTTGTTACAAAGTACACGATATTATTATTTTTATCAAATCGTTCATTTTGTCTTGAAAATTACTTGATAATAATTATCTATTTTACGATATATTTTTTGCAAGATAATCGTTGAACTATAATTGTTGGCGACGTAAGACCAAAATGAAGCACACTTGCAACAAAATGTCCGGAGCTTGTTTGTCGAGATATTAACGCATTTCTTGAATTGAAATAATTTTCTAATTGTTATCCGTAAGAACAGGGGTGGGAGTAAAAAAAATTATTATTAAAAAGATACTGAGAGGATTAATATATCTTGTGAATTATCGCTAACCATATTATAACAATGTTATTTTATCGTACATCTTAAAGAAAAAAAAGTGTTTTTATAAAGCTAGTTGTAAAATGAAGATAATATTTAATTCACTTTCCAATCAAGTAAAACTATCAATTCTTCTACTATTGACCGTAGGAAGCACCTTAAAAATTATCATCAGGGTAAATTTTATCTCCTTACAACTTTTCGTATAAAATAATTTTTTTTAGCCTTGTTTCTAGTTTTTTTTTTTTTTTAATGGGAATAAATTAATTAATACAAATATAACAAAAATTTTCGTTGATTTAATACCTTAATCAATTTCATTAAAATTTCACACAGCACTTTTGTAAGATATTAAATACTGTTTTTGTTTTTCTTTTTTATTTTGTTCTTTTTTTATTAACGAGATTTAATGCGACACTGAAATATAATAAAATATTATAATACATATTATAAATCATATTATAGATGTTAACAAAATAAAAAATAACGCATATGCACTATCAAACCGATAGAAAAATATAGATATCGATCAATAATTTTTGGATTCGTACAAGTTTAATTAAATCAATTTACTTATAACTCATTGTCAGAGAATATTGAATAGTGATACATATCTTTAAGTATATATAAGTATATTAGCATTGAAGATACCTATTTCTGATAAATTCATTTGTCAAAATTAACTGCTATTCTACGTATTTCAATAGATAAGATGAGATAGTCACAAAATGATATCGTGATTCAAAAGAAGATTAGTCTGAGACATATTATTGTATGAAGAAGACGTGGTTAAGGAAATTAGACGGTGTGGAAAAATCGATCGAATAGTGAAAATATTAAATCATTAAAGATGACAGAGGAAAGGAAACTTTCGGAAAACGAGATTCAAGGTACATTCTTTTGTATATTCTATCATTTTACGATTATTCTTTCTTTCATACGAAACTGTTCCTTACACTATCTCGATCTTATCTTTTACTTACAATTGATTATGTTTACTATTTATTCGTTGAATACTTATAATATATTTGTTTACCTATTATTATCTACATATTACTTTTTAAATATTTTTATATACGTGAATATATGATACATTTTTAAAATTGGGCTACGTAAATATCTCAACAACGATGCATTCTTCAAATAAATCATTTCGAGAGAGCTCAACTTTATTATTTTAAATTTATATATTTATGTAATTGCATCTCTTTTAAATAAAAAAAAAAAAAAAAAAAAAAACAAATAATTTTTGTTTCGTTAGCCTTTGGTATTTTTTTGTTATTATTATTATTATTATTAAAGCAATTATATTTATTAAAATAAGAATATCTGCTCCCTCCGTATATATTAATATTTATATCCTAATCATATGAGTGATAAAAAATAATATAAAATAATTTTACATACATATTTTATTTTAATCAAGATTATTTTATAATTCCTTATCGATTTTAATGTTCATTGGCTTATTTCTTCATTGAAAGATTTGACAGTTGTTCATCAATTTTATTTTATCATAATTTAGCAGTTTTTTTTTTTTTTTTAATTTCAAACATTCGATAAATTATAATTTCACATATCGTTCGAAGATACGCATAAAGTAAACAGGAAAAGACTTATCAACTAAGGATTTAATAAAGCTTTTGATAAATCGATCAATTCGTTTAGAAAGCCGTCAAAACGTAATTACATGCTGACCTAAATATAAAGAACTATTGCTAGTGACATTGACACTCGCATACATTCATTAATATTTATTCACGAATGATTAATATAACTGTGAAAACATTTGTGAAAGTGATTTATCATTTTAGCTATTCAATTTCTTTATATAATCATTTGTCTCTTTTTAGATCATCCAGATAGACATAGCGATGTTGAAACAACCGAAAAAGTGAGTAAACGTGTTGTTATAGTAACAAAATTGAAGAATCGTTTTAAGTTATCTTTTTTTTTATTTTATTTTTTGCAAAAGCTAATTTTTTTTATTAATTTTATAGATGCAATATAAGTTTATCGTTTTCGATAATTATTGATACTTATTGAATTGATATTAATAGAAATTGTTAATTATACAGTATTAATATATAATTTTGATACAAAAGTACAATAACATTTTTTTTTAATTAACTATATTAATATGAAATATTCATAATAGCAAAATTGTCCCCGATTATTCTACAAACCTTAGAGGAACGATAAATGCATTCAAATGAGAAAGTGAAATCGGTAGATAAAAAAAGAAAAAAAGATATCTTTACGAACTTGAGAAATCGAAAGGATTGTATTTAACAGAAACTTTCATTGTAATGCTTTCAACAAAATTATTATCGCGTTTTTGTTCTTTATTTTATTTTATTTTATTTCTTTTTATTCAAAATAATGATTCCCTTTCGGGATACATGGGAAGGATTCTTTATTTTATTTTATATTATGTTTATACCCACGAGATTGTACATGAAATTGCGCAGAAACATTTATATGTTTTGCGGTTAATCTTCCATAATCAAACGATGTATCAAGTAAACGAAGAAAAATATTCAGGTCAACAATCATTTGTAAAGATTGCACGTCGCGTTTAACGGTATTCACGACTTGTGGCGCAGGTATATGTAGAAATTAGTTTTTAAAATTTTCTGATAATTATTAAGATGAAATAACTTTGTTTCATAAACCGATCAAATAATTCTAAAATCTTATATAAATTTAAAGAAACCAATTGTTGTTGTACAAAATATATTAAGAATTATAAAGAAACTGCATTTTTTTTTTGTAAATAAAAATGATTAAAAATATAAAATAACTTTAAAAAGAAAAGATAGCTATTTATATAATAAATAAATTTAATAAATATTTATGTGTGATATGTGATGAGTTTTACAATATAATTTTGATATAATATTGACTTTATAAATCTTTGCTTACAAGTCTAATGAAAAACAAGCACAATTAAAACTATATAAATATTTATCAATTTTAATCACATAAGATTAATTGAATCTACAAAATGTATATCATTACGTGACAGGATACAATTGTTTTCAAAACACATATTTGAATGATTGAGTTGATCATGCTCGAAAAGAAAAGAAAAAAGAAAAAACAATTCTTCGATTCAGGTACTCTTGTATTATTGAATTATTTTTTAAAACTTACAATTAATACGATGAAGAATTCGTTTATTTATTGTCTAGATAATTTTGATGGGTCTTAAGTGAAAATGATTAAGCAAAAATTCAAGATATATATTCACTTTAACTGGTTAACTCGTGAAGTAATTTAAAACGAATAAATTATTTGTTATATCTCGTTTATTATTACCTTATAATCGTTTATACGCGCATATAATCTTGCAAAACGTGTTCATCTTTTGTTTCTCATTTATACAATCATAATGTTAGAATATATTCTTGTGTTATATCACGCGTAACACTTATTCTTTATCTTATTCACTAGCCTACTTATCTCTTTTATATACCCAATAATAATAATAACAATAATAATAATAAACATTACATTTTTTTTCTAAAAACTTTCGATAAAAAATGATAAAAGAATTCATATTGCATTTTTGGTATTACTTCTATGTCCTTCATTAGTTTAATGAATTGCTCTATATATCTACCCAATAAGAATTTTAAACATTTTATTAGAAAAAATTAAAAAAAAAAAAATGATTTCTGCACGTGTGATCACTGTAGATTAATAAATCTTATATCACCAAAAATATCGATCAAAATTACTATAGTATTTAACGTACTAGCAAAAGAAAATGTCTACATCGAAAGACAATTAACTTTTTTTTATTCAGAAATAAATAACATTAGTTGGAAAAACCAGAAAAAATGACGTTTTGTATTATAAATATGAATAAAATAACCTCGAATAGTAATATTATCTTTCGATTATATAATTCCGTCTTTCCTTTCATTTTCATTTTTCACTTATATAACGAATCGGTTAATAACACAAGGTAATATTTTAATATTTTATTTAAAATATTTGTTTTTCTTTTTAAATTCTTTCTTTTTTTTTAATTTTTTATCCAAAATGATAAAAAAAAAAAAAAAGATAAAGAAAAAAAACGAACAAAATGAGAAAAAGAAAGATAAAAATAAAGAACAAAAAAATTGAATTGAAAAATAAAAGTTAGTACCTGTACTAATATATTTTAAAGTAGAACGAGCAAAGAGGATTTTCAAATCACCATCTCTATTGATGGTTCCCCGACGAGTTTTCTTTATTCTTATTTGTTTCTTTTAGAAAGGAATGGAGACACACGAATGCGAACGTTTGACCATCGATCCAGTTTCTTGTTTTCATTCTGTTCTTAGACGTAAGAGAAATAAGACGAATGAATTGTCGTCCCGAGGAGATTGTAACGCGCGTGCGCTAGATCGCAAATGATCGAGAAAAAAATAAAAAAGAAATAAAAATAAAAATAAAAGTAGCTCATTAATAGTTGATGTAATCATAATAGTAGTAGTAGTATTAGTGATTAAAATATGCATAACGATACCAATAAGAATCGAACGTAAAAGTGAACAAACTGTTGAATTTACATGAGTTGACGTCAATTTTTTGTGTATTATAGTTAATGTGTGACGCGTGTTTCTATGTGTACTGTTATGTCAAAGTATATTACGATTTGTCGATATACTTTTTTCAATTTACTTATCAAGATAAATATAGATCGGTAAGATGAGTACGAAACAGGTATGATCATCAAGATTTTTGAAATCATTATATTTTCGTGGTTTACTTTTGTATTTTTTTTAAATATTTTCCTTTCGATAATTTGAATCTGACATATTATTTGAAAATTTTATATGTTCACTAAATTATTGTGAAATCATGAACGGTACATAGTCGCTCGTATTCATTGAACATTTGTACTTTCACCTTTTCTTTTATCTTTTCTTTTTCATTTTCTCTTTTAAAAAATTACTTCGTTTCAATGCGTCGATATTAAATTCATTTAATTGGTCGAGCTTTTACGCTATAATAACAAGAAAATAATCTGAAATGAAGTTATAAAATATATCTATGTACAAAAAGAATAAGAAAACATATCCTTGTAACGTTTAAAAATAACATTTTATTATTAGTTCAGCCGTTATTTCTTTTCCTTTTTTTTTACTTTACTTTTTATTACTAAAATTTTACATACGTCATATAAACGAACGAGATAATTTAACTGAAACAAATTAATTACGATTGACAAACAAATTACGACAAAATTTCATTTATATTTAAAAAAAAAAAATTTTGTTTATATAATATATAATATAATATATACATATATATATACACTATAGGTAGCGTTATGTCATATATAGATAACGTAAAAAAAACTTTACTGATTATAATAACAGTAGTTTTCCTCGTACATTGTAATTACAGCTAAAGATAAAACTGTTTTTTTTTTTTATATAAAACTGTTTGTTAAAAATTTATTTATTAATCGTGTGAATCAATGAATTACGCATGATCACGTTGTTATTATTTTTTTTTTTTATGTATACTTCTACGATTACTCATAATATTACGAAATTAACGAGGTTAATTACCGACGAATAGTTACATAATCAATAGGCTACAAGCGCGAGCATTTAAACATAAACGATGATTATTAACTGTAATTTGAAGAATATCTACCACACATACACTATAATGCAAGTAATTTGTTTCTTCTAAGTTAAAAGAAAACGTTAATACAACGAGAATTGTTGAGGAGATAATATAACGTTCCTTTCTTTTATTTTTTTTTACATTATAAATAATACTTTCATTTTCTTGATATTATTGCAGAAACTCAAATATCCAAAGTCCGTATTTTTCATCATCAGCAATGAATTCTGCGAGAGATTTTCTTTTTATGGAATGCGTAGTAAGTCTCGTATTATTTTTATTTTATTTTTTCTTGTTTTTGTTATTTTTTTTGTTTGTATTTAAATACATACTTAATTTGATATTAATTTCAGCGGTCCTTACGTTATATCTTGCAAATACTTTGAATTACGATGCTAGCACTTCGACCGTCATCTACCATGTCTTCTCTATGTTTGTTTATTTTTTTCCATTATTCGGAGGCATACTAGCTGATTCCATATTAGGAAAATTCCGTACAATATTCTATATTAGTATAATCTATGCTGTGGGACAATTTTTATTAGCCTTAAGCGCTGTACCGTCGATAGGAATACCACCAAGGTTAATAATATTTGTAATATGCATTATTTAATGATTTTTACGGTGACTCGAAAAAAAGAAAAAAAAACTATTTTAAATCATACATTCTCTAAGCACATTCTTTGCATATTTCGAGAATCGACAGGGAAAACAAAAATGTTATAATTTGTTAAAAAACGACGTTCATCATACATTTTTCTTTTCAATTTGCGTTAAGGATTTATGTTTTAAAGATATAATTGAATTGATTTGAAGAACTGTATATGTAATAAATAATGCTTTTTTTTTTTTTAATTTTGTTCCAGTCACCGTACATCTCTAATCGTTATTATTTATATCTTATTTATTTTATAGAACAAAATATATATCTTTTTTCTAATTAAAATCTAACCAAATTTCAGGGAAATTGCGTTACTAGGTTTGTTTCTAATTGCTGTTGGTTCCGGTGGTATAAAACCTTGTGTAGCAGCATTTGGTGGAGATCAATTTGTATTACCGCAACAGGAACAACAACTTTCTAATTTCTTTTCCGTATTTTATTTCTCAATAAATTCGGGCTCATTGATATCTAGTTTTCTTACACCAATATTACGAAGCAGCGTGACATGCTTTGGCGAGAAAACATGTTACTCTTTGTCTTTTCTAATACCAGCTATATTGATGTCTATATCGATCGGTAATAATCATATTTAAATTAAAGAAAAAAAGAAATACTAAAATAATAAGAAGAAGAAAGACAAAATGAAAAAAAGAAAAGGTAGGAGAATAAAAAATCTTTAAAACACGAATTTTTGTTTTACAGTGATATTCGCAGTTGGTAAACCGTTGTACAAAATAGTTGATCTCAAAGGCAATGTCGTTGTCGACGTTTCTAAATGCATCTGCGTAAGTTAAATAAATAATTTACATTTTTTTTCTTTTTTTAACAAAAATAACAATAATTATGAGATAATGTAATATTTAATAGTATTATATATATATATATTAATATAATAATATAAATAAACTGATTTTATTTGCGTATCATAAATTTTGTGTTTAAAAAAAATGTATTGATAAATCGTTTTAAATAAAAAAAACCAAAATTTTAGTACGCTATTAAGAGGAAGATAAAATCAAAGGAAAAGATGGATCATTGGCTTGATTATGCAGCAGACAAATATGGTCAACAATTAGTCGACGATATCAAAGATTCTTTAAGAGTATTAAAGATGTTTCTACCTTTGCCAATCTTTTGGGCACTTTTCGATCAACAAGGATCGAGATGGACAATCCAAGCATCGAGAATGGATGGTGAAATCGGTAATTTTTTGATACAACCAGATCAGATGCAAGTATTTAATCCACTTCTGGTTGTGATTTTCATTCCCATCTTCGAGATTTGCATTTATCCAGTATTTGCCAAAATTCGTCTACTTAATACGCCATTAAAGAAACTTACAATTGGTGGTTTATTGGCTGCATTATCTTTCGTTATATCTGCTATTGTTGAATTACAACTTGAGGCAAGTAATTATATATATATATATATATATATATATAATTTTCATTTTCAATTACTACTTCTACTACTATTATTATTTTTATTTCATTGAATTTTGATGATTGGTTTTTTTTTAGAAAACATATCCAATATTGCCTACAGAAGGAGTGGCCCAAATAAGAATTTTCAATACCATGAATTGTAAAATACCGATAAAAATCAACGATAAAAATTACGATATTGATGGTCTAGATTATTGGAAAGACATAAACATCGATACTACTAATGGCGATGCTAATTTAGAATGCACCTTTTATATGGCGGAGTGCATTGCGGGAAAGTTCATCAATAATCAGAATAATGGTAATAATCAGTTCATGTTGTTGAATTAAAAATTTATGTTAAAAAAAGGAAAAAGAAAAAGAAAGTAATAACAAATTTTTAATTTCACTACAGATATAATCTCGCGTAATCTCACGATACCCAATGCTAAAGCAATATCGTTTGCTATAACACCAAATGGAGTCCAAAATGGCTTCAATGGCGGAATTGAAAAACCAAAAAAAGGTCTTCCTATAGTTCATAGTCTTATTTATTTATCTCCAGAATCAATAAAAAGTTACGAATCTAGCTTGAACTTTTATAAAGATTCGAAGCTCGTTGAAGTTATTAAATTAAATAAAACAATTTTCAAGGATACGTCATTAGATGAAGTTACGCCAGATAAATATGATATATATTTTAATAAAAAGAAATTATTATCAAATAAGGATTTTAAATTAGGCGGAGTATACACTATTATTGGCTACGACTTACCAGAAATACAAAAAACGGAAATATCGATTATTACTGTAACACCTCCTAATTCCATGCATTTGATGTGGCTATTACCACAATACATTGTCATAACTATGGCAGAAGTATTATTTTCAGTAACTGGATTAGAATTTGCATTTACACAATCACCTCCTAGCATGAAATCCTTAATGCAATCTTCTTGGTTACTTACAGTAGCTTTCGGCAATCTTATTGTTGTTATTATCGCAAAGGTATCATTCTTCAATAGGCAGGTGAGCTATCTAGATACATGTTAAAAAACAATGTGTACTATTTTTAATTTATAGATGTCTATTGTTATTTTTTTCTTTTTTTAATGCGAAAATTATGTTGCAGGTTTACGAATTCTTCCTATTCGCAGGTTTGATGTTTGCGTTCATGATATTATTTAGCATAATGACACTGTTTTATAAATATACGGATGTACCTGAAACAGATGGGGAAGATATCGTATTGGAAGAAAAAAATGGAACGATTAATCAATCGTACAAAGATGACGAACAATGAAACATACACAATAAATCTTTAAAATAATGAAACTTATACTCGTTTTCAACTTTTACGTTGAATGATAAAACATATGAAGATATATATATATATATCGTTACATGATGTTTTTGTTACAAAGTTGTTGTGTTGTATGTTGCATCGACAATGACAACGATTATAATCGTACCTTTTTATATAATCGTAAATATTACGTATTACGTAATTTTTTGACAATCTATGTAGGGAAATTCTTTTCCCAAGAGGAATAGGGAAAAGTAGAAAGAAAGTTGATATATAAAAATTATTTAAAAATCGATGATTACACGTACATTAGAATTAATCTTATCATAACAAAATAAAATGTAAATTAAGTTTTACAACGATTTTTTTTTTTTTTTTTTATTAAATTCTAGTACCTATAAAAATATAAGAGATATTAAAAAACATTATAAAATAATTAATTTCTACAAAATTATGTATATATAAATAGAATGAAGAATGAAATGTAGAATGAATAGAGAAACGTGTGGGTAAAATATGAAATAAAAAAATGGCATGATACTTGATATAAAATTAGGAATTCGAAATGGGATTGTGTTCTATCGTAAAATTTATAAGTATTTCCTGTCTCTTAAATTATAAATAACGAGAAATAAAATTTTTCAAATATTCGAATTATATTTTTCAGAATAATTATTGATGGTAATTGGTATAGTAAATCCAACGATGATCACCTGTAACACAAAGAAAACTATATTAATTATAGAATCAAGTGAGATACAATAGCCTGACATATGAATCGTCCAATTCGCAGATGCACTTTTTAATTAAATTTTCTATTTATTTTTATTAAATATCTATTTACCGTTGCAATGAAATTAAATTTAAGCGCGTGATTTTACATTTACAAAAAATATAAATAAAAAAAAGGGGGGAACATAATAAATTACAAAAAAAAGAAAAATAATTTATTAATTATAATAAAGTACCTTTAAACTGCATTATATACAAATAAAAAATTACAAATTTAATATAAAATACGATTACATAAACAAAATCTTAAAGACGAAATAAGAGAAGAAAAATTACATTAATATTTACTGAATGTTAATTAAGCTTCAAAATTTAATAGTGAGGAAATGTTTAATGTTGATGACTCTAATTAACTAAACACATATGCATCTCTTTGACGATATAGACACGAAATTGGTGTCCCAAGGAGATGGAATGGTCCATCATCTCCAATTACAACTACAAATTAATGACGAGCAAAGAAATAATAAAATAAAATATAAAATATGATTAAAGAACTATTCTCGAAAGGTTCGAACATGATGTAGAACCTTTGAAAATAATTCAGTAGCCTGTAGTTGCCCTCTTCAGCCACAATTAAGTGGGGGCCTCTTCAGCTTTTAGCCTCTTCTTTCTTCATTCCTTGAAAACTGCATTTGGACATTTTCTATGCGCGAGCAAGATAAGATCTCTCATACTAATTTTGCAAATAAACTCGTATTTTGCTAATTTACATTTCTCGTGGATCATCAATGAACTTTGAGTTTATTGACCATACACGAGAATATTTATTCGAATGTCCAAGCAGATAATAATTTCCCTCGATGACCTAAAAACACTTCGCACTTTTAACGTCGAATAATAAAATCAAATTGAAATAAATAGTGCAATAAATGTAATGCATTTTCTTGCAATAACTTCATTTTTTTAATTTGTTATATTTAACTATATCAAATATTTTTAACTGTAAGAAGAAATCGCGATAGTGCGAAGTGCTAATCCTGAAATACATACAACTAAGTATCAAATGCATCAAAGAATTTGCGAATTTGATTCGACTCTAATTCGTTCGAGATAAAATCGAAGTAGAAATAAATCTTTCAAATGGTTGCAAATACCTTTGAATCATGATACATGATACATAAAGATCACAGAATAGTCACAAAATAAATTAAAAAATCAAGCATAATAGAATGAGATGATCAAATTTTGTAACAATTCTGTATAAACCAGGAGGCGGAATTTCCACTCCGGAATGGAAGCAAGAAGTCTAATGCCTTTCCTGGATCCTACCTACTTAAAATTAAA